TTTTACCTTGTGGTCCCTCTAGAGGTCACAATTTTTGTCTGATTTGAAAGACCGTTCGATTATACCACCGTTACACCACAATGATGGTTGAGTTTGTATTTCCTGAAAATCGGACCGAAACTGCCAGACAAAACATCCGTTTGCTATATGCAAATAGTGTTAAAGTATGTAATATAAAGGTTGTGGACCATCTGTTACAATTTTGATCTGATTTTGATGAAACTTAAAATTTATGTTTATATCCCAAAGATCCGAGTTCCTTTCAATATTCATGCATTTCAGACCATAACTTCCTGGATTATGGTCCCCGATTGTACGAAAAATCACATTTTTTTAAAGCTTATTCTCTATTCATTTCTTGCAAAATGTGGGCGTATCTTGCATGGCAACTGCTAGTTCTGATTTTCACAAAACTTGAAACAGGTAACCAGACATCTAGACCAACGACCAGTGGAACCAACGGGAAGACCACTCAGACCAAGACAGAAGACCACTCGGACCAAGGTTAGAAGTCCAATTGAACCAAGACATGTTCCGAGACAGAAGACCACTTGGACCAAATAAAAATAAAAGACTACTCAAGATATTGTTATTTATTTTTTTTAAAAGACCACTGGGACTATGACAGGTCCCAAGACAGAAGACCTCTAAGACCAAATTTAAATAAAAAAACTACTCAACATATTGTTATTTATTTATTTCTTTATTGATCATTAAATCACATAAACTTATAGGACCACTTGGACCAATATTTTGGTTAACAATTATTCTCTTTATTATATTTTACGGGTAAATATTTTTGCGTTTTTGAAATAAAAAAATAGCCTATTTGAAATAGGCCAACTCAAGACATATAAGAAATTATTAACATGAAACATGGTTATTAAACCATTAGTGGCACTTATGGTTCTTTGATAATCATAGATTGCCATAGAAGTCATATATTAGAAAAGGAATAATATCCTGATGAATTGATTTAAATGATGAAACGTATACTGAGCTTTGACATGCATTTCACGACAATCTTGCAATAGAAGGCAGTACAAATTGATAAATATAGTACGCACAGAGAATAGTATACCAATTAATAACTACTCAGTTGTTGATGATTTGTGAATTGAGTTTTTATACGCCCACATTGAAATGTGGTTGTATATTTTCGTCCCCGTCCATCCGTCGGTCCAGCGTCCACAATTGCTTGTGGACACTCTATAGGCTAAAGTTAATATCCGATTGACTTTAAATTTATATACAGTGTTTAAGGCCGTGAAACGAAGAAGCCTATTTTTTTTCAGCGATTTCCGATAATTACTGCCAGAGTTATGGCCCTTGATCACTTCAAAAAATCTTGTGAACGCTCTAGAGGCCAAAGTTAATATCCGATTGACTTTGAATTTATACACAGTGCTTAAGGTCATGAGACAAAGAGCCTATTGATTTTCAGCGATTTCAGATAATTACTGCCAGAGTTATGGCCCTTGATCACTTTCAAAAATCTTGTGGACACTCTAGAGGCTAAAGTTAATATCCGATTGACTTTAAATTTATACAGTTTTTAAGGTCATGAGACGATGAAGCCTATTCATTTTCAGTGATTTTTGGTATTTACTGCCAGAGTTATGGCCCTTGATCACTTTGAAAAATCTTGTGGACGCTCTAGAGGCCAAAGTTAATATCCGATTGACTTTGAATTTATACACAGTGCTTAAGGTCATGAGACAAAGAGCCTATTTATTTTCAGCGATTTCAGATAATTACTGCCAGAGTTATGGCCCTTGATCACTTTCAAAAATCTTGTGGACACTCTAGAGGCTAAAGTTAATATCCGATTGACTTTAAATTTATACAGTTTTTAAGGTCATGAGACGATGAAGCCTATTCATTTTCAGTGATTTTTGGTATTTACTGCCAGAGTTATGGCCCTTGATCACTTTGAAAAATCTTGTGGACGCTCTAGAGGCCAAAGTTAATATCCGATTGACTTTGAATTTATACACAGTGCTTAAGGTCATGAGACAAAGAGCCTATTGATTTTCAGCGATTTCAGATAATTACTGCCAGAGTTATGGCCCTTGATCACTTTCAAAAATCTTGTGGACACTCTAGAGGCTAAAGTTAATATCCGATTGACTTTAAATTTATACAGTGTTTAAGGTCATGAGACGATGAAGCCTATTCATTTTCAGTGATTTTTGGTATTTACTGCCAGAGTTATGGCCCTTGATCACTTTGAAAAATCTTGTGGACACTCTAGAGGCTAAAGTCAATATCCAATTGACTTTAAATTTATACACAGTGTTTAAGGTCATGAGACAAAGAAGTCTATTCATTTTGAGTGATTTTCGATAATTACTGTCTCAGTTATGGCCCTTGATCACTTTGAAAAATCTTGTGACGCTCTAAACGCTAAAGTTATCATCCGATTGATACACAGAGTTTAGGAGCTTGAGACGAACAAGTATATTGATTTTCAATGAATTTTTATGACTTGAACAGCTAATTCCATGATATTAAAAGTTTTGTATACTAAATGTTAGCATGGGGCAGAACTTTATAAAAACCAAACAAATTCTAATGGTTTTCTGATAATAACTTCATGAGTTGTTACTCTTAATCAGATTTTAGTGTATTATAAATGTTTCATTACCGAAAGAAGTAAAAATATGCGACAACACTTGTTGACTGCCCGGACGATTTAGCTGCTGTGGGCATATGTTTTGTTGCCTGGCAACCTATCTTTTTTTCTGTGTTTAATGATGAAATAGTAACACGGTATTAAACAAAGACAACAATTTATTAAAACAACAGTTTATTATTACAAAAACATTGGTCCGAGTGGTATATCAACTGGTTGACTGATCTTTGTCCAAGTTGTCATGCATTCTTGAAATATACATTTATATCCCAAAAATCTGTCTCTTTCGATATTTTCATGTATTGGATCGTAACTTTATGGATTATGCCCCCTGATTGTCGGAAAAATCATGTCATTAGCTTGTGGACAATTTTTTATCTCGGTTCCTTTTGATATTGATATGTCGGACAATGACATCCTGGATTATGGCCACTTACTGTATGCTTTTTGTCCCCCACCTTTTGAAGAAAGCAGAAGACTATTGAAATGGGTCAGTCTGTCTGTCTGTCCATCCGTCTGTCTGTCTGTCCCACTTTTTGGGGCACAATAACTCTCCTAATTAATGAAATGAAATGGGGTTTAACTTCCAATTGTTCTGCTCCTATACTGGGCTAACGAAGATGGGCATACGCCATACAGTGTGCTATGAGGGAAATTTTGCCTGGGCAGCGGCACTATCGCCTACTCTTGTATCAAATTCCAACTGCCAGGGGATCTTTTACGTGCATTCCAACATATACACGGGACCTCTGTTTTTCGTCTCATCCGAAGGACTAGACAGCTGTCCTTGTCAGGCCCTCCATCCAGCATCACTGACAAGTGGAAACCACGCCGGAAAATCTGGATGAACTTTCTCGGCCAATGCAGGCATCGAACACCCGACCTCCAGGCTAGCAAGCCAGCGTCTTACCCACTTAGCCACGTGATCCCTCTCCTAATTAAGCTAGAATGTTCAAACTTGGTGTAGGTATTTATTAGGTGAATGCATTGATGGAGTTCAAAGATGAGCATTTTCTGCTTAGGGTAAGCAGAGATAAGCAATTTGATTCGTTGATGCTTTGGGACACTATAACTTTGGTTCTAATTAAGTGAGAGTGATGAAACTTGGTGTATAGTTTCATTACATCAATACCTTGACAAAGTTCGATAATGAGCATTTTCTGCTCAGGTAAGCAGAGCGATAAGCAATTTGATTGGTCAAGACTTTAGAGTTTTATAACTTTGATTCTAATTGAGAGAGAGTGGTGAAACTTTGTGTATAGTTTAATTACATCAATACCGTGTCTAAGTTTGTTGATGAACAATTTCTGCTTAGGCTAAGTAGAGACTTCAATCTGATTGGTCGAGACTTTGGAACACAATAACTTCTAATTGAGGTAGAATGTTGTGGGTGCTTATTAGTTGAATGCTAATTTGATAAGCAATTTGATTTGTTGAGACTTTGGAACATGATAACTTTGGTTCTAATCGGGTGAGAGTGATGAAACTCGAAGTACATATTCATTATACCAACACCATGACTAAGTTTGATGAAGAGAATTTTCTGCTGTAGGGATATGCAATTTGATTGGTCAAGACTTTGGAAGATAACAACTATGTTGTTCAATCCAATTCAGTTTATTGAATAAAATATTGTTTACACTAAAACTCTGCTTTTAATTGTGGTAGAATGGTTAAACTTGGTGTAGATGTTCATTAGGTGAATGTCTTGATTGAGTTCAATTATTAACATTTTCGGTTAAATCACTTTCATCGGTCGATGCTTTGGGATAGATAACTTTGATTTTAACTGATGGAGAGTGATGAAACTTAGTGAATAGCTTCAATACCAGGTGCTTCAAAACCTTGACTGAGTTCGATTGTGAACATTTTATGCTTAGACTTAAGTATAGATAATCAATTTGATCGCTTGATTCTGTTCAAAAAGATAAATATGCAATTAATTAATATGTCTCATCTATTTATTATGGGATGTTTCAGGGCACATCAGCTTGTTTAGCTTGTTCTCTGTCCATCTCTTGCAAAATGTAGGCAAATCTTGCGTGGCAACCGCTTGTTGACGTTTTTATATGCACAATTTTTCATGTGGAAGTATAATGCAGTGGCACCTCCCACTCATTTGTTTGTCGACTCCATCCAATTCTAATGCGACATGTAAATCAATGTTCTGTTTACTTTATTTGCTTCAAAAGATGGTCGTGTTGGTAACCTACCAATGCTAACATTATTTTCGTCCAGTGAGGACTTGGAGAAGAAACATTTGGTTAGAATAAAAAAAAAATAGGTTTGAACTAATCAATGTAGAAATCAACTGTGAATTTGGGCTGACCATTCATCTTTATATTGATATGTTTCTATATTTTAGGTTGTCAGAAAGAACATTTTCTCTGTGGGGATACTTAGCTCAAAACATCAATGAATTCACAAATCCTTTATTTAAAAAAGAATATGAAATAACTCATTCTGTATTGATACCTCAAACAAATCCACAGTTTTTCAAGTAAGACTTTTCTATTTATATATGTCAACATTTTACTTTCGAGTATATGGTTATTTACCATGTCTGTTTGTCTGTTCAACCACAATTTTTAACCCACAGATCTTGTTTCCTTTCAATATTGGCACATATACTTCTGTAACTTCCTTTATTATGGCAGTTGCTCAGATTTTTCTGTGTGTATGTTGTTTGGGTAGCAGTTGTTTAGAATTTGTATGTGTATGTTGCTTGGGAAGCGGTTGTTCAGATTTTATAGGGGGTATGTTACTTGGGTAGTGATTGTTCAGATTTGTGAAGTTGACCAGTCCCATAAAACAAAGTCATAATTTGTGGGACTTATGTAGGCCTTGCAAACAATCCAACCCTATATGGACAACCTTTCTGTGCAGCGTAGATGCCTTAGCCACTAGTATGTTTCACAATAACTTTTCTATTATTTTGGGAGAACAGGTTTTGGAGAGGACTTTATAACCGTTTTGAAAATGGTATTCATCCAAGAGAAAATGATATAGACCTATTGTCAGTCTACAGACAGCACAGTTATTCAATAGAAGATCACATTGCTTTATTAGAAAAGGTAAGTTGACTGATACTTCAGAAGACTTATGGGCTACATCAATCAGTTTTTATTACGCATACATCAACAAAAATTTGTTTCTCATCACCAATGTCTTTCTGTCCGTCCATCTGTCATATGTAAAGGTATCGTTGCCAATATTAAATGCTCTGCTCAAATGTCTTTTCTAGTGATAAAATGTAAAAAGTGAAATGCAAAAAGTCCTAGTACCGATAATGATAATGTCAAAATACCTCCAATAACAAAGTCATATGTACTAGGTCGAATGTAATATGGATAATATATCATTTGATACATTTAACATTTGCGCTTTGTGACATCCCATTTGTCTTTCTCCTAGCAGTTTCTACACAGCATCTTTCTCATAGCAGTAACTTTGATACTTAAAGATACATTATAGATAAAGATTTAGATAAAGAACTAGCCATTCTTGCTATAATAGTTCGAAAGTAGATGATGTAAAATGAATAATTTGAAAATTTCATTCAAATTACTCTATTTCAAGCAAAGATATTAGCCTTTGAAGGTTTGACAGACGTGTGCAATAATTTCAACCACCGTACTGGTTGATTGAAGCTAAGTCTCGGTCCTCCATATTTGATTAAATCAAAGTATCGCTGAACCATTCTAATCTATTTAATATCGGAGAAATCTCATGCCATCGAGAGTTGATTAAGGCCTGGATCACTTAATTAATGTCTAATTAATACTTTAGAAAATATTTCAGGCCTAAAGAAAGACCTGCAATAGGCAGATTTAGCTCTTGCATAATGCATGTTTAATACATATGATTGTCATTTTAGGTATTTTGACATTATCTTTACAGGTCTTAGGTCTTTGTACAATTTAATGTTTAAATTTGCTTACTGGAAAAGACATTTTAGCAGAGTATTTAATATTGGAAGTGATACTCTTCCATACCATCATCCACTATTTCAATATGTTACAGTGTATAAGTTGAGGTGGACTATATAAGATTTTGGAGCCATGGTGACTCAGTGAGAAGGACGTTGGCTCGCTAACCTTAAGATCCTGTACGTGTTCGATCCCGGGTTTTAGGGCGAAGTTCCCCCTTGTCAGTGGTGCAGGACAAAGGACCTGGCTAGGAACGATGTAAAGTCGTTTGGATGAGAGGAAAACCGAGGTCCTGTGTACACATTGTTGTGCACGTCAAAGATCACTTGGCAGTTGGAATTCAATATCAATTTGATTGAAAAATGTCATAAAATTCCAGTAAGAAGTTTCAATAAAATTATTTTTGACAAAAATCTGAGTACGGACCATGAGATGTTGACAGAGGTTTAATTTTAAAAATAGTGTCCTTATTATTGAAGGCTATGGCATAGTTGTATGAAATCTTTCTATATGGCTGTCATGTGATCATGACTGTTGAACAATTTCAGTACATATAGTATAGCTACGGCATTTGGTGCCGTAGTAGAAAATCCTAATTTTGCGGACTGATGTAAGTTTTGCTTTATTCATCAGATGAATGAAAATGGTCTTTATTCAGGATATTATTGCCTTGAACTTGGCCGGTTTGTGAATTAAATATGGAAAGTCTCAATTTTTTATAGTTTATTTTATTAAATTAAAACCATTCCAAGCCTTATCTTGTATGTATTTAAGTTTTCATTTCGGATGAGCTGCTGTCTTTATTGTCCCCCGCCTTTCGAAGAAAGCAGGGGACTATTAAAATGGGTTCGTCCGTCCGTCAGTCTGTCTGTCCGTCACACTTTTTGGGACACAATAACTCTCCTTCTAATTGAGCTAGAATGTTCAAACTTGGTGTATGTGTTTATTAGGGCAATGCCTTGATGGAGTTCGAAGATGAGCATTTTCTGCTTAGGTAAGCAGAGATAAGCATTTTGATTGGTTGATGCTTTGGGACACGATAACTTTAGTTCTAATTAAGATAGAGTGATAAAATTTTGTGTATAGTTTTATTACATCAATACCTTGACTAAGTTCGATAATGAGCATTTTCTGCTCAGGGTAAGCAATTTGATTGGTCGAGACTTTCGAACACAATAACTCTCCTTCTAATTGAGCTAGAACGTTCAATCTTGGTGTAGGTGTTCATTAGGTAAATGCCTTGATGGAGTTGGGAGTTAGAAGATGAAAATTTTCTGCTTAGTGTAAGCAGAGATAAGCAATTTGATTGGTTGATGCTTTGGGACACGATAACTTTAGGTCTGTGATGACACTTGGTGTATAGTTTTATCACATCAATACCTTGACTAAGTTCGATAATGAGCATTTTCTGCTCAGGGTAAGCAATTTGATTGGTCGAGACTTTCGAACACAATAACTCTCATTCTTATTGAGCTAGAATGTTCGCACTTGGCGTAGGGGTTTATTAGGTGAATGCCTTGATGGAGTTGGGAGTTAGAAGATGAAAATTTTCTGCTTAGTGTAAGCAGAGATAAGCAATTTGATTGGTTGATGCTTTGGGACACGATAACTTTAGGTCTGTGATGACACTTGGTGTATAGTTTTATCACATCAATACCATGACTAAGTTCCATATTAAGCATTTTCTGCTTAGGGTAAGCAGAGTGATAACCAATTTGATTGGTCGAGACTTTGGAACACAATAACTCTTCTTCTAGTTGAGGTAAAATGTTCAAACTTGGTGTAGGTGTTTATTAGGTGAATGCCTTGATGGAGTTCGATGATAAACATTGTCTGCTTACGGTAAGCAGAGATAAGGAATCTGATTGGTTGATGCTTTGGGGCCAATAACTTTGGTTTAAATTAAGTGAGAGTGACGAAGCTCTGAGTATAGATTCATTATATCATTACCTTGGAACAAGATAACTTTAATTCTATCTGATAGAGAGTGATGAAACTTATTGTATAGTTGATAATCAGTTTATTGATTGCTTGATACTTTTGAACAAAAATAAATGTGCGATTAATTAATATGTGTCATCTATTTATTTTTTGATTTCAGCGGGGGACATCAGCCTCACTGTTGGCTTGTTTTAATATATAGTTGCTGTGTGGGCATATTTCCACCCATATTTCATCATACTTTCATTGCAGTATTTTGATATTCTTTTATGATGACGCCTCTTGTTTTTCAGAGGGTAATGCAAATTTGTAAATTGTTGGGAAAACCTGATGAAATAATTCAGCTTAAACTGCAAGGCTTCCTGTCAGTTGATTCTCTGGATGGAATATTAGCCGACCATATTGAGAGTAATGAAAATGAATTTCATCACAATGCAGGAATTCTTGATGAGGCTGCTGGTTTTGATTCAATAAGTAATGGTCACATAACAGATACCATAAAACATTCCCACATTGGATGTGATATTGGACCAAGAATTAAGCCCAGGATGGATGAATTAGAGAATTTAGATAATATGATTCTTGATTCTGACTTACTCACCTTAGATCAACTTGTGTCAGAGTTAAGAACAGTGGCCCTGGACTGGAGATCATTCCGTCGAGTATACAATTGCAACTGTTTGACACCATTTGATCACCATGTTAAAAAGGTAATTGTTATTAAGGGTGTTGAGTAGTATAAGATATGCACCAATCTTATTACAACTCTGCATACTTGTTCTATGTGTAAAATAATTTAGAGGACACATAACAGTCTGACAGTTTGATGTGTAATAATGGAGATACAAGCGGAAAGAAAAACAACAATTTATAGTAAACAAGGTTTCCCTTGTCTAGATCAGTTGCAGTTGTATCCCAATTAAGTCACGTGACCAGAAGGAATTCTCCTTATGACGCCATTATCCACATCTACCATCTGGAACTTCGTTGAATTTCTCTTTTTATACGCCCACATTTTCATGTGGACGTATATTGTCGTCGCCCATGTCCGTCCGTCCACAATTGTTTGTGAACAGTCTACAGGTCACAGTTTTTACCCGATTTCAATGAAACTTGAAATATAGGTTTATCATCCTAAGATCTCGGTTCCTTTCGATATTAGCATCTATCGGACCGTAACTTCATGGATTATGGCCCCTGATTGTACGAAAAATCACGTTTTTGGCTTGTGAACACTGTAGAGGTCACAATTTTTATCCGATTTTGTTGAAACTGAAATGTAAGTTTATAACCCAAAGATCTCGGTTCCTTTCGATATTCGTGCATATCCAACTGTAACTTCCTGAATTATGGCCCCTGATTGGACCCTATAGAGGTCATAATTTTTATCCAATTTAAAAATCCGTGTTAATATATCACCATTACACCCTAAGGACGGCTGAGTTCGAATTTCGTGAAAATCGGCCCAAAACTGACAGACAAAATGGCCGCCCTTCGTTCTCAAATAGCGTAAAAATATGGTTGTGGACCCTATAGAGGTCACAATTTTTATCCGATTTTGTTGAATCTTGAAATATAAGTTTATAACCCAAAGATCTTGGTTCCTTTTGATATTCGCGCATATCGGACCGAAACTTCCTGAATTATGGCTCCTGATTGTACGAAAAATCACGTTTTTTGGCTTGTGAACCCTATAGATGTCATAATTTTTACCCGATTTAAAAAAACGTATTATTATATCACCGTTAAACCCTAAGGACGGTTGAGTTCGAAATTCGTGAAAATTGGCCCAAAACTGACAGACAAAATGGCCGCCGTTCGTTCTCAAATAGCGTAAAAATATGGTATATCAAGGTTGTGGACCCTATAGAGGTCATAATTTTTATCCGATTTTGTTGAAACTTGAAATGTGAGTTTATAACCCAAAGATCTCGGTTCCTTTCGATATTCGCACATATCGGACGATAACTTCCTGAATTATGGCCCCTGATTGTACGGAAAATCGCGTTTTTAGCTTGTGGACTCTATAGAGGTCATAATTTTTATCCGATTTAAAAAAACGTATTATTATATCACCGTTACACCCTAAGGACGGACGGCTAAGTTTGAATTTCGTGAAAATCGGCCCAAAACTGACAGACAAAATGGCCGCCCCTCATTCTCAAATAGCTTAAAAATATGGTATATCAAGTTTGTGGACCCTATAGAGGTCACAATTTGTAGGAAAAATCACTTTCTTTTTAGCTTGTTCTCTATCCATCTCTCGAAAATGTGGGCGTATTCTGCCTGGCAGCCGCTGGTTATCCGATTTTGTTGAAACTTGAAATGTAAGTTTATAACCCAAAGATCTTGGTTCCTTTCGATATTTGCGCATATCGAATTGTAATTTCCTGAATTATGGCCCTTGATTGTAGGAAAAATCACTTTCGTTTTAGCTTGTTTTCTATCCATCTCTCGTAAATGTGGGCGTATCCTGCCTGGCAGCCGCTGGTTAATGGTCTGGCGTGGTTTCAATTCCCTGGTTGTACGTGACAAGGAGTAGGGTCGCCTGTCCAACCTCGTGGTTTTCTCCAGGTCCTCCGGTTTCCTCCCACTGCTAAAGACCCCTACACGCAAGCGAATTATTGAAATAAAATTGTACCATATGTTAGTCCTGAAATGACCTGGTTTGTGTCGAGTGGACGTTAAACCCCATTTCTTTCTCTCTTTTTTTTTGATGGTCAAAGACTACCATTTTGTTGGAAGAAAATGGTTTTAAGTGTGGCGGAATAGTTCACTGAAGTAAATATTTACTTTTTATACGCCCCTTTCCATCCACAATTTGTTTTTGGGCACTCTACAGATTACAGTTTTTATCTGATTTTGACAAAACTTGATATATAGGTTTATCCCCCAAAGATCTTGGTTCCCGGAATATGACCCGATTGTACGAAAAATCTTGTTTTTAGCTTGTGGACACTCTATAGGTCTCAATTTTTATCAGATTTATTAAACCGTTCAAGTATATCACCATTATAACATAATGCAGTTGAATTCGAATTTTATGAAAATGGGACCAAAACTGCCGGACAAAATGGGCACTACCCATACACAGATAATGTAAAAGTATGTAATACCAAGCTTATGGACCCTCTAGAGGGTCACAATATTTATTTGCGTATGTGGAGTAAAGTTTTGAATGTGTTTTTCTTTTTTATCAAATTTAGTGTGAAGCATTGACTTGATAAGAGGATGGACACTATCGATATTCAACGTTCCTCAAACATCCGTTCTGGAGTTAACCCCTCCTCAATTTTTAAAGGAATGTTTTTCAAGCTAGTGAACACAATAGAGATCATTTTCTATTTTCACACTTTGCATGGTTATCTTTGTTATTTTCAGTTTCACTGTTGGAAATGTGGTGATGTGTTTTGTAATCGGTGTACCTCACAGACTATTTCATTACAAGGTCATCTTTCCAGTCAACAAGTACCTGTATGTACATCATGTTTCCAGTATGTTCAACAATCACGTAGCAGATAATCATCGACTACCTGTTTCTTACACGATTTTAGATTTGAAAGAAAACAGATTAAATATGAATTTTGTAAGATTTAGATAAAAAAAACTGACATTTCTCAATATATTAGTTTAAAAATAGTTAATAAAAAAGGAATATAATGAAAATTTCAGTCAAATTACTTTATTCTGTCTCGGTTATCCATATTAAGATTAAATTATTAAAATGGCAATCGTGTTTCAATCTGTTAAAAATCACGACCATCCGATGATCTAGAGTATTTATTATATGCTTGTCATGTGAATAAATGTCTGATTAATGATTAATAATTTATGTAACATTTGAGGCCAAAAGAAAGACCTGCAAAATTGGCAGATTTAGCTCTTACATAATGCATGTTTAATGAAGTTGTTTTTACTTGACTTCTTTTGGGAGACATGTATTTTGGATGACTCAGAAGTACACCATATAATGTGCAATAATTTAAATAGTATTCTATGTATATCATTAACATTTCACATGTTGTAAAATATAGGTTTTTGACAACCTCACTCCAGATTTCAGGTCCATAGCTCAAGTATTATTAACACAGTATGAGTTTTAAAAAAGAATGTCAAATCAAGGTTTGGAGTGAGAAGTTAGACATTTTATATAAATAAATGGTCAATATATCCTCTGAGTTGCTCATGGACAAAAGCGCATTTTCCACCCATAAATCAAAGAAGTTTATTGTGTTTACGGTGTTAGTTGGAGGGGCTAACAGACATTCACTTGATTGCTACTAAGACAATCAAGGTTGACTCAAAAATGAATTTGCTTCAAAATAGATTGTTAGTCATTTGATGAAGACTCATTCCAAACAATGACCATGTATTCCAGCAAGATGGGGTGGGAAGAAGGCCAACTCAGACTTTAACCAGAGGCTGCCAGGCAGGATACGCCCACATTTTGCAAGAGATCAAAACAAGCACAATTTTTTGTACAATCAGGGGCTATAATCCAGAAAGTTATGATCTTTGGGATATAAAGATATGCTTTAAGTTTCATCAAAATCCGATAAAAAATTTGACCTCTAGAGAGTCCACAACCTTTATATTACATACTTTTACACAATTTACGTACAAAGAGCGTCCATTTTGTTGGGCAGTTTCATTTCGATTTTCCCAAAATTCAAATTCGACCTTCATTATGGTGGAATGGTGATATATTTAAATGGTTTTTTAAAATCTTAAAAAAAATTGTGACCTCTAGAGAATCCGCAGGCTAAAAATGTGATTTTTCGAACAATCAGGGGCCATAATCCAGGAAGTTAATTTCGGATATGCGAGATTATCAAAAAGAACCAAGATCTTAGTGTGTAACGGTGATATATTCACAGGGACCACAAGCTAAAAACATGATTTTTTGTACAATCAAAGGCCATAATTCAGGAAGTTACGATCCCACATGCACGAATATCGACAAGAACCAGGATCGTTGGGTTATAAACATGCATTTCAAGTTTAATCAAAATCGGATCAAAATTGTGACCTCTAGAGAGTCCACAACTTTGATATACTAGATGTTTACACTATTTGTGTACGAGGGGCGGCCATTTTGTCCGGCAGTTTTGGTCCGATTTTCACGAAATTCGAACTTATACAAAATTACGGTGTAACAGTGATATATTCCTAAATAGACCACAAGCTAATCCATGACCTTATGGTCTGATACATGCCAATATCGAAAGGAACCGCGATCTTTAGGAGATAGACCTATATTTTAAGTATTGTCAAAATCGGATCAAAACTGTGACCTGTAGAGTGTCTACAAACAAATTGTGGACGGACGGACAGGGGCGACGGTATAATACATCCACATGAAAATATGGGCGTATTAGTCCGGTGGCTGAAAGGGGGGGGGGGGGATCGCAAACCCGAGCTGTGAATTTATGAGACCAAGTTTATCTAGACCAGTTTTTTTGCGTAGATTCCGAATCTGGGTGGTGATCAGGCGTTTTCGAGATATAGGGCGTCCAATGTCTACATTGGGAGGCAATGTCATTATGTTGACATAAATGATTATCATGTTATATATTAATAAAACATAAGTTTCTAGGGATGTCCATCTTGATTTGTGGGGAGGTGGGGTGGGGGTAGCAAGTGAGCGTGTATGGAGGGTGGGGGGTAAAATTGGCGGGAAATGATGATTTTCTTAGAGCTTGGTAAAAACATTACTTTTTAATTCCGCTGCACACCTCTATATATTATTATAGCAGCATATTTATAGTGCACCCTTTCATATAACATGTTCAGGGTCACTTTACAAAGTGACAATGTAATCATAAATAAACAAAAAGATTATGGACATGTTAAAAGCCTGATTAAATAAATGTGTTTTAAGTTGTTTTTTTAAAAGAATATAGATATGTTTAACATCTTAAACTAAATGGTAGATTATTCCATTAAACAGGTGCTTGATAACTAAAAGAGCGCTGACCATAAGAGACTTGTTGAACAGTTTTGGACTTTAAAAGTAGTTTATCTGATGTACGCAATGTTCGGCCAGGTGTATAAAGTTGTAATAGATCTGAGAGGTAAACAGGAGCTAAATTATTTAAACATTTAAAAGTAAGTAATAAAATCTTAAAATCAATTCGATATTTAACAGGTAACCCGTGTAAATTATATAAAACAGGATTTATGTGGCCACATTTCTTAGTTAAAGTATTCTGTACTTTTTGTAATTTATCTATAAGCTTTAAAGGTAAACCAACTAAAAGCGATTAAAGTTATCTAATCGAGAAGTGACCAGAGAATTAACAAGTGACTTAGTGGCATCTACAGTTACACATTTACGTATTTTACCTATATTTCTGATATTAAATAGCACAATTTACAAATATTATTTACTTGAGCTCCCATAAGCATAAAACTATCAAAGATTGCGCCAATATTACGAGCAGAATAAGATGAAAATATATCACAATTACCAATTACAACAGGGGGGTTATCATGTGCAAATTTACTTAATTGATGCCTTGAGCCTAATAACAAATATTCGGTTTTATCATCATTCAAGTTTAGAAAGTTCTTTGACATCCATTTTCTAATTTCACTAACACAGTTCTCAAGTTGCAATTTTGATAAATTGAAAGAAGATGGACAATTAGGTGTAAATGAAATAAATAATTGAGTATTATCGGCATAAAAATGAAAGCTGAGACCATATTTTCTTACAATATCACCTAATGGTGACGTATAGAGGGTAAATAAAATCGGACCAAGAACAGAACTTTGGGGAACCCCAGATGACAAAACAGATTCAGACGACGATTTACAATTAACTAAAATACACTGTTTTCTACCCACAAGATAGCTTTCTAAAAGATTTAATGCAGAGCCACCAATACCGAATTTAAATTGAAGTCTACGTAGAAGAATGGAAGGGTCCAGCGTGTCGTAAGCAGCAGATAAATCTAATAGAATTAAAAATGTACATGTTCTATTATCAATTTCCATTTAAAATATCATTTGAAACCCGGGTTAAAGCTGTTTCGTACTGTGAAATTGTTTATAAGCACTTTGAAATGGTTCATACAAGCAGTTATCATCTAGATGGGCCTTTATCTGAGAAGCAATACATTTCTCCAATATTTTAGAAATAAAACTTAAGTAATTTTTAAAAACATTAGGATCCAGTGTAGACTTTTTAATTAAAGGGGTAACAAGAGCTTGTTTGAAAACGTTGGGAATAGTAGAGGATGATATACAAGAATTAATAATATTGGTAAAAACTGGAATAACTTCGTCTAGACAGTCCTTAAGAACAGGAGTCGGAACAGGATCTAATGAACAAGATTTAGGAGCAGACGATTTAATGAGCTTTAAAACAAAAGATTCACTAACCAAGTTAAAATTTTCTAAATAAACAGAATTTTCGAACGTATCAAAATCATGAGCGTTAAAGTCAATAGTTTTATTGATATCATCAAGTTCGGTTTGTATTTTCTGTATTTTTATTTGAAAGAAATCAGAGAACAAATTCGCAAGTTTAGTGTCATTATCATTGTCCGGGAGAATAGTCCGCTCAGCATTATGCTCCAAAAGGGAATTCACAACTTTATACAGGTCTTTTTGTCTGTTTTCACCATTTTCTATTTTATCAGAGTAAAATTTAATTTTAGCGTCTTCAATTAATTTATTCACATTGTTTTTTTTTAAAGATTTATAAATCTGTTTATGGACATGTAGATTTGTTTTCCGCCACAGATGTTCAGCCTGATTAGGTCCCTTTTGGCTTCTAAAATAGAATCATTAAACCCCTGCGTATTGGGACGAATAGTAAATGTTTTTCGTTTGAAGAGGCACAAGTGTAAGATTCCCATTGTATGGGGAGGGGGGGGGGGTGTAATTTTGGGGACAGAAAACACTTGGTTCAAAATTAGCCAATGAAGCGGTCTGTTACGGCGAGTTCTTGGAGTGCTCTGCACGGAACTGGGTAAACCTCCAGAAACGTCAACGCTGATTGATTAATCAATGTCTGACGTCATAGGGTCAAAAGTCGCTCGTATGACTCCTGACGCGACCTCCCAGTACAACTGATCAGATCTTCATGTAATGTAGGCCATCGAAAGTATAAGAAAAACCAAACGAAATATACATTTGTATTTTAACCGGTTTGCTTTTTCGTTCAGTACGAATTTCGTTATTCCAAATATTAAATTATAATTGTACTTTTCAAGAGATCTGGAAATGTACATAAAAACACAGTAAATCAGAGACATGTTTAGATATTAGTTTATTCTTAATCTTCATCAGAAGATTCAAAATCAAAGTTTATAATAGGAGCGGGATAAATATCTTCTGGATGGCTAATCAACAGCTCGCATATATCCTTTGGATATGCTTCAGATACCCATTCACATTGTAAATCTTCATTCCAGCCTTGTATCGCAGAATCATCTTGTTCAATCATTGGTTTTGCAGCCTGTCTCCATATTGTTGCGTTTAATGTGCAGCAAAAGACTACTCAGGCAAGATGGTAATAAAGAAAGAAAGGTTTGATATTTTTCATCACAATTAAAATTCCTCCAGAAAATCTTTCTTCTTGTGTCATCTGCTGACGTAAGTCACCTTTCGGCGTACATGGTACAAATATTTGTTTCTAAACCAGCAATTACGTCACCAGAAACATCATTTGTCTGTCCCAGCTGTTTAAAATTGTTAAAAAGTTGGAAAAAGAAAGACAGATAGTCATTACCACTGAAAGCATGTAGGCCAAGATATTCTTGACACTTCAATACTAATCTTGATTAGATAAAAAAAATATATCAAGATTATTATTGAAAGTGTCAAGAATATCCTAGAACTGACAACAAACCATGAGGACACCAAAATAGCTTAACTACTCCTCTTCACATTGCAAATTAATGGAGGCGCTGAAACAAATTGTATTTTGCGTTCTTGCTTGGGCGAAATAGACATCCCAATCATTCTCCTCGCAAACAATGATCCAAATATACACATTCTGGTCCATAATGAAACGGTCAAAGGTTGACAATATCGGCGACATACATCAGTAGATGACACTAGAAGAAAGATTTTCGGCGTGAAAAAAATAACAGACCTTTCTTTATTACCACCTTGCCGTAGTGGCCTTTTGCTGCATGGCTGAAATGAAGATTTATAATGT